TTGCATTTCCACGCATTCAGTTCGACCACATTTTGTTTTTTTGCACAACTATGGGCTTAGCGATCTGAGAAGGTGCCGAGGAGGTGGTGGTTGTCTGCAAGATAGATACGCCACAGTCATATATGTAACTGTAACTGTAATTCCTTTATCTTCAATAGGCATCTCACTAGTAACTCATTCAGAAAGACTTCGGTAAAAAAACCTGATGCAGTTGCAGCTGTTGACTCACCTCTGGTAACCGCGTATTTATGAAATAAAATTACCTGAATGTTTCTTACTCTGTCAATTTCCGAAAACATTAGCCTCACATAGTTCTGTCTATTCGCAACCCAGTGACAATATCATGAGTGGAATGGATTCATTCTCAGATAGGCCATCGGATAACATAACTTTTGATGCTGTGTTGATCAAGAGCATCTAACATTGTACTACTAGTCAGCCCAGTTACCATACCCTAAGAGATTCGTCCAGTTAGTTTGCTGACATGTAGGGATGGGTCAGATAATGCAATCTGCCACGATTTTTCTTTGTAAAAAGTTCAACTCTTGATGGACTTCAGAGGGATTCGAAAGAAACGTCAGGACGAGGCATGACAATGAAAATTGGCAACGTTATTTGATTTTTCGTACGGCCGGGTGTCGCCGTGGTCACCCTTTGATTTTTCTTTTTCGTTTGCATATCGTCTGGCAACAGCACCTTTCAAATCTCAGTCAGCTCACCTGTCGCATGTCACCGCTCCAAGGTCACATGTGCGCACGTTTGTCCCGGTTGGCGGACAGTGCTGTCTGATTCACAGGTGATGGGCAACCATCGCCCGACGTAGCCACCAGTTGTGCACATGTGAACGGATCGATTGCAGCAAGGCCCTCGTCTACGCACGACCGATTCCGCCTGGCTTAGTGCTTAGTTTGTTTGGTTTGTGCTCTGTACCTCCCGATGCTCGACTAAGGTCAATATCACCTTGAGTTGTTCAAACATGATGTCATTACTGGTAGTCGAATTGCAATTTAGAGCATTGGAATTGTTGGAAGTGGTAAAATTGATCAGCTACTGATATTGCTATGTATTTTGCAGTTTGATGGTTCCTCGTTACCTTAGCTTTTGGGGTGGTCAAACGGTCTAAGTCGCTATCACCAGCGCTCTTTGGGCCCTGGTTTCCGAGATTCGAAACCTGCCACAAACCATCCTTGTTAACTGATAGATTCACTGTCGCCCGCCTAATCCAGCGAGGCCTTATGTCGTTAGCCACTCCAAGTCCCGGTACTTGGATTACCGTATATGTAAATAAGAAAAGAAAAGCTATTGCTGAGAAAAAAATTTATTGCCTATGAATGATACCAGAAATGTGTATGAGTAGCCACCACATCGGCGGAACCAATGCACTAATCCAACCTGGATACGTCAGCGAGGTGGGTATTGAGTGGAAAAAACCAATGGTAACAAAAATAAGATCTAGTATAAAAACTCTAACAAGAGGACTCGGTCGTATAGGTCGCGTTAGACTCCCTGAGTGAGGATATCGGGATTATTGTAATCAATGTTTAGAGACTGATTGGTATGGCTGAGTGTCGTAAATAGTGGCGTTCGTGCATCCTATCATTTTCTCCATGATCTTGATCGTGATCATGTCTTGAGCTGGGTTATTCTTTCTAAGGAGTCAGCCGCAGTAAAGTAAAGTAGGTTCGTGCATACTATCATTTTCTCTTCGACTCTACTTTCAACTTTCCTGTCTTTCTCCCCTTGCTTCATCCAAATTGACAGCCCAAAAGCAGCAACAGAAACCGGCACTCGAAAGTGTATGGTTAGTGGTTGTCAAAACTGAAACTGAGGATAGCGTTAGGTCTCGTAATTTATGTTGAACTTTCCACAAAGTGCCGTAAATTCTCAAATCACTTTTGCATGAATGTTTGTCGTTGCATTTCTCGGTGATCGCGCGTGTTTGCCTTGAACAATCAAACCGTTTAGCAAAAACCACCATGAAGACTCATACATAAATTAACGAATAAACTGAATTACAATTCGACTAGTTAATGGCGATTACCACGTCAAAAGTACTAAATGCTCTCCCGCGTTTGCAGAGTGATGCACACCAAGCGTGAACGCAACCTGGAACTGATATCCATGTCTATCAAACTTCAGTTCTGATTGTCGTCGGAATCACCACCTGCCCCAACATGGCTATTTTGTATCTCACTACATCCTCACACAGTGACTGCGAACGCTTACTCGTTCGTGATCTTTGACAGACTATTTGGCGCTTGTAGTAAACTTTTTGCTGGAAGTATTGCTAGTTTTCACCCAAACAGTGCTTCCAATAATAAAATTTTTCACAAGTTGAGTAAAGTGACTAGACCGACGTGATACGTGGAAACAATAAGAAGGACAAGATGAAGACAGGCAACGTTTCTGAGTCATGTTTGATAATGTCTGTAGTCATAGTACCTTAGCATCCTTGTGTCTTGGCCGGGAAACCAAGATGAACCGACTGAAACCAATGACGTGATGAGGTTTTATTCACTCGTGGCGCTCTCCATCGAACAACCTCTTCTATTTCTGTGCAGGATGAGCGAACAGTGACCCGGATGGTCTACGATCGATGGGAGGGGGGGGNGGGGGGGGGGGGGGGGGGGGGGGGACGTGATCGAGCCAACGCAGGTGAATTACGTGACACTTGTTGAGCGGATATGACAGTTCACCATCTGAACTTGTTACCACCGCTTCGGCGTTCCCACCGGGCGCCGTCAATCATGTTCGTTTTCTAATGATGTTTGTTGTTCCAGGAGTAAACTAGTATTCTGTAGAATGACAAGTGAAGATCTGGTACTTTAGAATGAACTCCGTGAGGCGTACAAATGTTTGTTCGGGTTGGGTTGTTTGGCTGATTGAATAGTTATAACGCAGCACACAATACTTGTCACGTGTTATATTCAGCCTATCTTCATCGACCGGAGTACGAGCAAGGTCGGAGCTGTGCGAACCAGCGAGAGTGCTAAATTTCCTAAAGGCAATTAAAAATACAGTGTCTTTCGACTGGGAGGAAACTAAGATACGGTATCGATGTGAAGAATGCAAAGGCGTTTAGTGTGTTCCCGGGAGGGGGGTTGGGGTTGGTAACAGTTAGATGTTTATAATTAAACTGACCGGACACGACAGCCCGTGCTCATTTCCATTGTGCTTTGTCAATTCTGGTCCACACCCGAGGCGAGTCCGCACACAAATACGCATTCTTTCTAATATGCACTGGCTTATCCTAATTACTTCTATTCCTAATGAGGTTTGTGCACGGCTGATTTGTCTGTTCATGTGCTTGTCTCGATGCGTCTGTGTTTCCCATCTCGGTCCTCGGGGCTCATTTGTTTGCTTGTTTGTGGTGCGTCGCTCCGAACCCACTAATTGATAGCTGTATCTTTGTCCCCAACCCTCATCTATGCACTACACTGTTTGCGTTCCTCCACCTGTGTCTTAGATCCGTCTGTCCTTTACCACTCCAACTGTGCCTGCTTGTTGTACGTGCATGCTTCGAATCACTTGCTGGTCTCAAAAGTGTTTCGTACGGGTGAGGTAACCGGGTTAGAAAATTTCGCAAACTTTTATCGTCTAAACCACGCCGGAGCAGTTGTGCTTTTTGTTCGTCCCTGTAACACTGGTGCTATAGTCTTAGTTTGAACTAAGATCTTATAGAGGGTAACTGTGTGTGGTCTCCCCCTAGTCTATCTAGAATCTGGAGGTATATTACAATACCTTGCTGTTTGGAGCAGTTTATACCTACGATCCGAATTGTGTAATACTGATTCTCGTATTCCGGAATTGATCACTGATTTTCGTTTTTTCCTGAGCTTTTAACGTGATTTGAGCTCAAGCTCCTGTTTCTCTTCTGCTCGTGTGCGCATTTGTCCTGCGACTTCGCACAGTTGATTTTGGTGCTTTGCTGACTGACGGATGCCAAGTGCTTCTAGCGNCCCCCCCCCCCCCCCCCGGTCGGAATTCGGTGAAATGACACCATTTATCCGTCAGGTCATGCTCGTCTGTTGTGCGGGAAAATATCTTTTTCTGTTCAACACAGAAAATGTCACGGCTTTTAGTAAAACCTGACAATCGAAGATGTCGTCCAGAAATCCTATTACAGGGCTACCCAAACATTACTAACCATTGATTATTCGTAAGCAAGGCCAGTCTAAAGTCCGTACTGCTCTACGATAACACATCAAAGGAAACGGTTTGACGGAGGTGAGAATGATCACTACTCTGTTGATTGATTAGCAGAGACTTCTGAAATCAAATGTGCTGTGTTGAATTTTCGTTGGTGGTATGTGAAGTTTATGATCTTTGGTTATCGAATTTGACGAATCGGTGCACAATAAATGTCTACGTTAATGTTCAGAGTTGCCAGGATGTTACTGCACTGGAGAGTCATTTAGATCTTACGTTGCATTTGCACATGTCAAGTCGTGTTTTCCCATTCGGTTTCTGTTGGTTCTTTTCATTTCAAAGCAACTTCCCGTTCTCATTAGTATTATGCGATTTGGCTTTCGTCAGTATACTTTGAAACCATTAATATTCATATTTTCGTGTCCGAGGCTGGGTGCTGGTGGCCTTGATCAAACCCTTCGAGCAGCTGTCATCGACTTGAGATGCATGGTTCGAACTCGGTCACAACTTCAGCTCGGTATCACTGTCACCCCACTAATATAGTTCCCCTTTTCCAATCCTACTATCGCGGTTATTGTTTCCTCAAACCAAGCAAAAGGTCCTACTCAATATAGTATTCACTCGTTTTTATTGCTCACTGCACTCAGGTGCGCAATAAAAACGATTCATTTGGGAAGATGTAGGGAGACTTCAGTTGAGCACATTTGCGTTCCGCACAAACTTATCCAAACCGAATAAGGGGTGTAACCTTAGGGTCCCCACTTGAAGACTAGAAAGTCAAACCTGCAAGACAGCCAGACGGGTCGTAGAGTCCGCAATCTTTTGGGGCCGGTGTTTATCCAGTTCATTAAATGATTTTGACGGAGTCAAAGGTTCCCAATCAAGCCGTTGAACAATATAGAAGTGGTTTGTACGTCTCTTTTTTGAACTGAGATGTTTGCCAACCCCCCTGGATTTACTGACGTGGTTATAGCCCTGGATGTTTGCTTCTCGCCCCCTCCCTTAAGCGGAGAAACCCTTCACCACATGAAGGTATTGGTCAGACCTCTCTCTCAGCAGAGGCGCTTGCTTATTCATACAGATGCCTTTTACAGGGTGCAGGGGAGGGTGTATCTGTTAGGATCCAAGGCGCCCACTCCCTCCGAGATTCACGGAGGCCCTAGGGCACCTTGCATTGGAGTGGCAGGAATGCTGCCGGTTACTTTTTCTGCGGTTAACTACTTTGGCATTGCCTTTGTCACATAGTTCAGACAAAAATAACTACTTGTCTCCTCATTTCATGGTATAATTTTACCATCATGTTTTGTCTGTATAGTTGCACTATCAACTGTTTTACCAATCCCATTCCTCCTCTCGCCTCAGGCTGTTCGGGCTTTCGGGCACATGCGCTAAGTGTAGACAGAAAATTCCCCCGGACGAATTGGTCATGCGTTGTCAAGATCACGTGTATCACATGAATTGTTTCATCTGTGTCCAGTGTCACACACCCCTTCACCCTGGAGATAAGGTGTGCGCGGTCAATGGGAGTCTGTTTTGTGAACACGAATTTCCTCACCTATTCTCTCCCCACTGTCCACCGACCGGGATCTCACTAACCAGTTTAAAAAATGCTCGACTAAATGCTCACTCAACGGGCAATTCCCAGTCGGATATCATACGAGGCTTGGCCGTACAGAAATCCCTGAACAATAGCACAAGTATGAACACAATTGCTGGTGGTGGTCGATCGAACGCTGCCAATTCTGCCCTAGTTCGTTCCTCACCCGGCCAGATGCAATTAGGTCCCGGTATGGACAGTTCCCAAGGCATTGGAATGGACATGTCCTGCTCAATCCTACCCATTACCCAATCCGAACTGGCTGCGGCCATGAACAATTCGCATCCATCCAGTCCGAGTTTTCCGTACAACAATGGGACCACAATAACCTCAACGAGTACTATCTCCTCCAACATGTGTAATCAGAACTTTGTTGATCGATCCCCGTCATCCGCTCCCGGCATGTGTTTATCCGACGTGGCTGACTCCAGTGCGTTCAATGGGGCTACATCGGATCCAATGACCCTTGTTTCCAACATGGTACCTGAGAAGTCAGTGAAAATGTCTGGCTCGGGGACACAATCATCCGCTTCGTCAGATGCACCCACGGGACGAAAGAAACAAAAAGTAAGTTATTGACCAGTGGAAGCCTCGCGCTGTTTGTTTGGTTTGCCTCGCGCATAGTCATGCTTTGATACTGATGAGTACACGCCCAGTGTTTGTGTGTAGTTATCGTTTTCGGTGGTTATCCAGCCTGACTTCGCAATCAAATGGAGAGAGAGACACAAAGGTTTTTCGTGGATAGCATTCATCCCGATAGTTGACGTTTTTTGTACGAGAACTGCAAAAGTTGAAGACCATCATCCTCTCATAGCGATAACCTTGTGTGAATGCATTATCAGGGTATGTGAAGTAATGAAGGACTAGAACAGATGCTTAAAACAGTTCTGTGCTCTTTTTGAAAAGCTGGAGTTTGGTTACATTCAGATGCAAAACTCATAACTGTCGTTGATTTTGCACAGCTTTTGACAGTTACCAGTAGGAAAATGACATTTTATCTTACCATACTAAATATATAATCCCATTTGCTGAGTACACTTTTATTATTGTACAGCGAAATACAGTGAGGCGAACTTCACTGGTCGCTGCCAAACTCGCAATGCATACAAGGTTCGTGGTACAGTTGATGGTGTAAAGGGATTGGACCTATTTTGAGGGAGGGGGGAAGAGGTAAACCTCTATGGTCAACACAGGGTACAGTCGAACGCTGCGTACATACCTTTTCAAGCATTCTGAACGCCAGTGCTGTCGGTTCTCTGCCGTATCCTTCAGTGTCTCCAACTAACCGGTTGTAGAGTCTTTCGGATCACAACCTGGAAGGCATGAGACACTTCTACCCAATGGCTCTGTGCATTTCATCATGCCTGGTCTCCACGTCATCTGTTGACCTCCACTTGGTTTCCTCCAACCCGGATCAGTTACAGCGAATAAAACACGGTGCGGCAGACGATGACCGGGCATGAGCAGTACGTGCCCTAACCAGCGAAGTCTACTAATCTGAAATTGGCGTGCTAGAGGTTTATCCGTGATAAACCCCGAAACACACGACGACTTACCTCCAGATTACCAACCCGTTCGCTCAATTCCGCATGGGCTAAACTGCGTAAACACCGATAATCGAAAACTTCTAGTCGACGGATATGTTCTTCTCTCAAATTCAGGGTCTCACAACCATAAAGCTGGACTGAACGGACGGTGGCACAATATACACAACCCTTCAACTTCAGTGAAACGTCGCCTCTACGCCAAAGGTGTTTCGGTCCTGCGTATGCTGCTTGAGCCTTGAAAATGCGGGCGGTTATCTCTTTTTCTGCGTTCCCGTCACTGGTCACATTACTAACTAAGTAGGAAGGTAATCCACCATAACTAATTCCTGTCTATTTAGTTTCGGAGCGGGAGTAGGCGAAACCCAGTCCTGCAGTATCACTTTGCACTCTGAAGATACAGAGCACATACCGAATGTGGCAACCGCATTTGTTAGTCTATCACGTGCACTTTGCGCGTCCTCGTGCAGTTTTCTCCAGCTGCCCATTCAATACCTGCGTTTTGGAGTCCAGTATTTCGTCTACGACGATTACGATTTGGGCGTGCACACCCACAGTTAGAGTATGCACTCGATCGTACAGGTTTACTATATTTCACTCTTCATCACAACGAGTTCACTCACCACTCATCTTACACATTCATACTTATTTTTTTATGTGAAACATCCTTTTTCCCCCTATGCCATTTATCACCCCAAGAACACATGTGTGAATAGAATTGATAGTAGCCGTCGAATTCGCTTACTCTCGTTCCACTCTAACGCAATCATGCCAAACAAAGAAATGCTCGAGTTAAAATGAGTCATTGGAACAAAGTGGTGAACCTGTGTGTGTTGCGTGATTTGGGTTTGGTTACGATGTAAGGTCAAGCTAGATTATGACATTGGATAATAGGTTATGAAAGTTGACTATTAAAAACAAGATGGTGATTGTAGTGGTGGTGGTTGAGGAGGCTAGGACTTGTCATATACGGTGGTGTCGTGGTTATATCACAGTAACAACAAACGCGTCAACTGTTCTTGAACAAGGTTGCGATCTCAAGCTCTCGCTATTAAAAATCGCGAGATCTGTTAATTTCGAAGTCTTTTGATGACTCGAAACTATTTTGGTGCATCAGGTTGGTGATGGAAGTCTAGCCGGTGCCGTGTAATTGTATTCGGTAGTTTCCACTCGGGAAGGACAAGGCATTTCGGAACATGTTTGCACACCATGGTTGGCAGACGACGTTCTGTCCTTGCGATATACTTCGGACCGCACACTGAAATGAATTGATACATTCAAAGGTATCACTAGCGTCTTCTCTATTCATCTTAGTGCGAATGGTGCAACGAATCGTTAATCTAGCAGCATTCTACGTTCCACCACTAACCAATGAGATAATCCAGTTGTCACCTCATCTCCGCAACAAATGGGGTCGATATAGATGTCCATCTTTTTAACTATTAATAAGGAGATGGGTTTGGGGTTGGCTTGTAAATAAACATAAGATGATAGCCATAACCCAGCAAAGCATGGGTCTGTCTGCGTAATTCATCTCGCAAGATTTGTGGGTTATATAGTTAATGCACCTTGTGAAATCGAATGCACACCAGACCGTTGTTGATTCTGTCCAAGTAGGCTTGCGATACATAGAATAGCAAGTTGAGAAACGGTAGTGTAAACGTGGATTCACTTTCCAGTGTGAGCTTGTCATTGGGATGCAGAAAGTTTAGGATCGTGTTTTGACGTCTGTTTCGTTGTGTGCCATAACTAATCACCAACATACTGACGATATCGTAGGGTTGCATTCGTTCTTTCACTTGTTTTTTTCTAATCTTTCTAATCAACAATCGGCCCCAATTGGTTTCCCATAGCTGCAGCTGGTATTTCCTTTGAAGCTGGACTGGAATTCGCGAAAATAGGTTCAGTAAGGTTTCAGATTCACTTCATAGAAAACCCACTTCATGGACATATTAAACGTACCTCGTTCACGGAGTCCTCGATGGGGACATCTGTAAACAAACGTTTGATAACGCAGAATTGTCTATATTCCATGTTGATTGTTTTTTTTTCAGTTCGCTTATTAGACTAGTGAGCTTGTTCACCCATCTCACGCGGTTGGGCTGGTGAGTCGATCATTGACAGGGAATGGTTTCTGGTTTGTGCAATTTAGGCGATCGGTACACCCTTGCGAGGTGCGAACTCTGAGATCTCAGTTCGACGAGTTAATCACAGCTTTCTTTGAAAATCTCTCCAGTGTGGCACACGCAGTCTTCTCTTGATTTTGCGTTTTTTTTGCTTTCGAATCTCATTGAAAACGATTGGGATCCTTAAGTAGTGCTTTCATCCTCTGACTTGGTGATCCTCATTGAGGACGATAATTCGAAACCTTTGTCGGTTTTCACGAGCACCATCGGCGTTTCAGTTCTTGTTTCACATTAATGTAATCCTGTATCAGTAGGCTATCGTTACAGAGTTTGGTAACTAACTCCACAATTCACTCGTGTATGTCGTTACTTGTGTTAACTGGTTTGTAAGATTCCTGAACCGTGCTCTACTTCGAAACTCCTGAGCTTCTTACCTGACTCGTAAAAATTGAAACCCAGTCATGCGGTTTCCGGTTGCAGTCAATTCAGTGCAAATCGCGACAACTTATGCACATATCTGCTGATTTATTTTGGAAACTCATCAGTGGGAACTGCCTCGGATAGCGATTTCGATACATCATTGAATAAATCACTTCGACAACGACACTGAAGTTCGCGACTGAAATTGTAGAACGTGATTAAACACAGGACTGAAGACCGTATTCAGTGAGTAAACTTTCCGTCTGATGTGACGGAGTGTTTCAACCATATGTTCCAAATGGGACTTCGTCAAGCATATTACCTTCCTTCGTCCAGGGGATGGTTTATTCCTGGCAAAGAGATTTCATAAACTGACGAAGAGATTCTTAACTTCTAAAACGATTCATCAGAAATTCGGTGCGAACGGTTTCACCAGTCCTGTGACAAAGAATGCTCAACATTATTTATAAACGTTTGACTATACAAACTGTGAGGTGCTCCTCCCAATGCGTTTCACTAGCACAAGATGACATGTTCAAGCTGGTCATCAGTATCAAGTGCTCTCGTTTTACGCTAGACTCACATTTATTCGGTCAAACTGAGGTTTGTAATTTTAACTTATGGACATAAACATCTCTATGTACCTCCATCAGTGGTCTTAGTTCGATGCTAGGACTGCATCCTTTGCTGAACAAAATAAATAGGACTCATTTGTAATCAATACCACGCTACTTACATCCAAAAAATCACGCTTAGCGAATTGCGCGTCGATCCTTTGTTGAATTGTCTAACTGAGTATGGTCATTGCATCCGTGTACTTAATGAACAGAAGCCCATTAAAAAACGCAGTTCGTTGGTCGGTCGTTTGAACTTTTCCCAATGACGCGCAAACACTATGTATTATACACATATGTGGTGAACAGTAGACGGGGTGGCCTACCTATTCGCGATGACCTGCTGCTTCGTCATGGACACCGGCAACGTAAGCCCCAGGACCACATAAGGTCCTATTAGATTGGGCGTAGTACTGAATCGGAAAACAGCACAGCTGCCTACCACCAAAGATGGATCGCAGTGGTGGGGCTTAAATCTCAGACCATGGGGTTGGGAGCACGTTAGTGACAGCGACTAAATCACTGCGCCGCCCCCACCTGTCATCAAATCACTCAACCAAGCTATAGTACGTGAAGCAGTTTTCAGGTCACCCGGTTTTCCCCCTGTATTATCTCTGTCGCCGTTATTCTTGGAACGTGGGAACTTTCAACTTTTGTCACCCACTAAATTTACCAAAGAAATTGCTGTAAGTCGAATGGATCTTTGAATGTTGCTCATCATACTTTGAGGTCTGGTCCTAATAAATCGCAAAGATAGTCTCATTTCTGGAAAGTAAATGCTCGTTATTCGAGGCACCCAACGCCTCGGGATATCCTTGCTCAAAATCTTCACTAGCGTTGCGTCTAGTCTCATCTATGCTTCAAAACCGGTTTCCTCCTTTGTATGGAAACAATTGTGCTCGTCACAAACGCGCGCGCGCATCTTGTCATAATTTTCCAAACACTTTCTATTGGATTTGTGTCAGGACTGTGGTATGGTCAGTCCAGCAGTCGAGTGTTCCTGTAGAACAACAGCCAAGCTTTCGTGAGCTGTGCGGTATGCATGGACTGACTCTATGTCTTGTTGAAAAACGGACTCCTTGGAGCTTTTCTCCTAGAACATGAGAAGGAGATTATTGTTGAGTATACTGACGTGAGTTTATGCCTTGATATGTTCGTGTAGTATAGCTAACAAGTCTTTTACCCTCGCTCTAGTGATTCCCCGTATCATAGCTGAGCCTCTGCCGAGACCTCGCATGTTGTGCATTCTTTCCTCTTTCCACGAGTCATCCTAGCAACGTGGCAAGCCATCCTGAACGTCCGAATCGATCTTTCTCTGATGACCGAATAAAACTTTCTCTCATTTATCATTCCAAGCCCGCTGTTGTTTTACTCCCTGTATTCGGAGCTGCATCTGAGTGAAAGTCATCCTGGGAACCTTTCTCATCGTGGGGTATTTCTAACGCAAAACACTTGTTATATATATATTTTCCTGGCGCCCAGATCAAGTGCATTACAACTTCATAGCGCATAAAATTCGTTTTCAAGCTGTCTTCAGCAAACTTTTAACTTCTTCAGGCACCTGTTTTGGTTATATCCCTCGTTTTCTTCATGCTGTGTCCGATAAATCAGGAAGAAAGTTAATTACTATGATCTCTGAGCTGTTCATGTTGCAATGCATCAACGCTGTTCCATTCAGCATCTCAATAGTCCAACATTATTCCATTCTCTATCATCAGATCAAGTGGCTTTCTTCGCCTTACTGAAACTAACATTACGTCAACCGATACTGGAGTTACACCTCGGCAATGAGGGATACTGAATTCAAATTTTAGACATTATTGGCTGGGAGAAGTTAATGGACCCGATAATATATCGTAGAATAGTAATCGACGGAATAGGTGAATTGGGCTTAAAGGTGTTTCACACCCATGTTACGTGTTACATCTAGAGTTCCTTACGAGCTAAGTCAGTTTCTTCGGTGAATCTAGAGTGTAAGTTCTCTGCGTGACGAGTGTTCAACATGTCCACGGTCTAGGTAAAAAAACGACAGAGGTATGCGGAAAATACAGGGGAAGAACAGGTGGTCCCCACATGCATTTCACGCACTGTGTCAAATTCCTGGCCCCGGTTTAAGGACAATCAAAAGTGCACTCACTACCAAGCTCGCGTGGAAAATCAAGTTCATGCATGTATGCATGTTCCGAGTCACTCACTGGTGAATCAAACTCGTATTCATGTACTGCATGCGAGCGGTGCTTGTCCCCGTTAATTGCCAAAAGCTCTGACTAGACGTTGCCGGTGCACTACTGTCCCATCCCGTGTATGTGCCGTGTGCCTAGACTCTGTGTATCAATCCTACTTTTGCTACTCTTTCTATAATCTGCCACATGATGGCTTGATAATGCTCAATAGGCTGTTTGCATTTGCATTTAGCCCAGATTATCTTCCCATAGTATAACAATGTGAGTACATCGAAGTACCTAATGCTCCTGATATTGGATTAGGCAACGGGATCTACGAATTCATTGCGGTCGTCCCACTGGGATGGGATTCTATCATAAGCTGGCTGGCATGAAACATAAGAGTAAGGATAAATAACACAATCCCAATATTGGTCTATCGGTCCAATTTGCTTCTCCTTGTCACGTCAGAAAACCCGCTGCTTTGATGAGAAAGGATGCACCGTGTATTTTCAACCTCAACTAAACCAGCGATAAGTGATAAGCGATAACATCCATCATGTTCCACTGGTAACCCTATAAAATGATTGGTGCTCCGCCTATCACGTTACCCACATAACCGGAGCTATCGCAATGTCCGTCCCCTCCGAGTGAACTAATTTCGTAGTAACCGAATAATAGTATATTCAAGGTGAGGTTCTGGTTACAAACGAAGGAAGTTGTGGGTTTCCGTTTGTCCCGTGAGAACCTTATACCCCGATGGTCTATCATGACTTAAAACGAGAACGACGACGATAATCGATCTCAAACGGTCGGGTAAGAAAGCGA